TAAATTGGTAAATAAGCAATCCCTGAAGGGCCTGAACACATTGCGCCTCATCAGATGTTCAAAGTTAAAAACACAGACGACCCAATGTCTGCAAAATACATTAATACTGTTATTACACAACATTACTACTTTTAGAGTTCTCGCCACGCCAAGAGAACAACCTTTGGGAAATAGAAAATTCATATTATATCACGAAACAAAGAAAAAACTAATTAATCACTAGAAGAAGCTGTTGCAGCTCGAACCATCATGAAGAACTGTACAAGCTTCTGAACATCTGGTACAACATCCTTAGCAGCCTCATGTGAAATGAACCTCTCAGCCCATGCTGCCAGCCCATGGGCCTTAGTCTCATCCAACAATTTCACACTATACACTGTTTGAGTAACCTTTACCCAGCCCAAGTAGCTTCCCAATACAACATCGATATAGCCAATGTTATCCCCTCCAAAAAAGTCTTTCCCTTTGCCACATTTGGCAAAAGCCTCCTCCAAAAGGGTCACTCCTTCCGATATTTTCGCCAGGACCGTGGCTCTCGTCTCGTCTCCTCCCTTGAATAACTCTTTGAATAATGGGAACCACTGAAATTGGACCAAATTTTCAAGAATGTCTAAAGTTCAATTCAATTAAGTTGTCAGTCATCATTTGAGAGGAAGGAAAAAACAAAGTAATACATTATGAAAGCTACTCCAAAATTTATAGTGCATCCAACCAAAGAAAAAAAAAATAGTCTTCTTAATTTAATATCACGAGTCAACTTACATCTTGAATTATGATATTGAATATTTTCTTATGACAAAATTGCATTTTTAGTCCTACTGATTTAACGTCATAGCAATTTTAATCCCTTTGTTCCAACATTTTGCCTTTTGATCCTGTAATTCAATAGTTTATCCTCAAATGACTGAAATAGCAACAAATTCACAAATTTTCAATTAGGTCCTTAAAGGACTGAAAGAGCAACAAATTCTCAAACTCACAGATTTTAAATTAGCAATTTCAGTCATGTAATTTAAAATTTTATTGCAATTCTAATCTTCAAATGACTTAAAATTGTAGCAAAATATTAAATCACATGACCAAAAGACAAAAATTAAAATAAAATGTTATGGCGTGAAACCAACGAGACTAAAATGCATTTTTGCCATTTCTTATTTTGGTATGTGATTGTGTAGTGCTTGAATAGAAAGAGGATATATACCGTGTCATCAATGTAAGCTGCCCAAAAACGGGCCACTGCTCGATCGTAAGGATCAGAAGGGAGAATGTTCGGACCATTTGTATTCCAAACGTCGTCAATATAATGAATTATTACAAGGGACTCACAAACAGGCTTCCCGTCGTGAATTAGGACTGGGATTTTCTTGTGAACTGGATTGGCTTTCAGAAGCCGCTCGCTTTTGTTGTTGTAATAATTCTCTTCGACGAACTCAAAATCGATGGATTTGAGATTGAGAGCCATTTGTACCCGGTTAGAATATGGGCTTGCCCACGACCCTAGTAGCTGAACATCACCTTTTGCCATACTCAAATTCTTGATCAACAATTGAGAAGAAATTTTCGGGCACTAATGCCAATTACTCTGAATTGTGAGATTTAGCTCTTGTGTAGGGCTTGTCCTTCTGGTTCTTATATTATCTATTTATTTATTGATATTAGAATAATATCAGCACGAGGCAGTTTAATGAGTCTTGATTGATGATATTCGTAAATTAATTAGGGCAAAATTGACTTTCCTGCTGCTGCTGATCAATCATTTCTACTTTCACTTTAGACTTACTAGTAGGTAGCCCTGTGCGATGCACGAGACAACGATATTAAATGAATTATTTTCACTAGTTCTGTCCGTTTAAGTCTAATACTCAATAGGGTTATCATCAATTTTTTACCTCCTTTAATCATCGTTTTTTTAGACAGAACATAATATGAGCATGTTAGGATTAGTAAAATAATTAATATATTGTCTCACTAACACACTTATACTAATATAAATTTGATTTTAGTATATATATTTATTCATTAATATAAGAGAAATAATATTTTTACTTATTCTTGTTCATTATATAATACTTGATTATTATTTTATTATAAACTTTGCTGTCATATAATGTCATTATTATTTATAAAAGTTATAGAAGTTGTACCTCTTCTTTTTCTTTTTATATTATGTAATGAGAAATATTTAATGCATATTAGTATTATTTATTTATGTAATTTTTTATGTAATTAATTTAAAATATGTAAATAAATTAAATAGTGTATAAATATTTTATAAAATATACATGTTTTTTTAGAATTTAATTTGTATACTAATTGAATAACTTTGATTTAGCAAATGCCAAAAACACAATATCTTAAATAGTAAATTATATTAATTTGAAGAGTAATTTATATTTATATATAATGAAATAAAGCTTAAAAAAATTATATAGCAAAGATTAATTCACCAACTTGATTTCTCCTAATTAATTGGAAGAAAAAATTCTACCTAACATGTTATCATTGCTTATAAATATTTTTGGATAAAAAGTGAATATTTGTGAAAAAAATTAACATTATGGTTAGAACTTGAAATATGTTATAATATTTATTTTGACCAAAATATCAACATGAATCACAGAAAATCAATCTTGTAATTTATTATAATGGATATCAATGAAAGTATTGCAAATATTAATAAAATTATGTAAGGAAAAAATATTTTTTATCATATCTGATTTGATCTTATTTAAAACCATGTATATGGAAGCAATTAATGCATATATTTAAAAAGTTTCCAAAAAAAAAGTATGCATTAAATGCTCCTAAAATTTTTTACTACTATTTTTAATAAATGGTTATTATTATTATTATTATTATTATTATTATTATTATTATTATTATTATTATTATTATTATATATATATGTGGTTCAAATGAGAACTAAGTCCTAGCGTGAGAACCGTGAGAATCACTATTTATAGTTGTGCGTAGTGCTATGATTGATTATGTTTTAGTGCTATTTTTAACATGGATCTATTTTCTTAAAAAATAACAACACAATTTATATTAGCATTTATGAAAATGATAGCACCATGTGATATTAAAAATAGCATCATACATAATAAAAAATAGCATCAAATAAGGTTCTCACGTTTCTCGCACCAGGACTAGTTTTTATTTGAACCACTCCCTCTATAAATATATGTGTGTGTGTGTGGGGCGAATCAAATGAGGACAACTCTTAAAATTAGGACAACTAACCTTGCAACTACAAACAACTAACCTTGCAAACTGAATACAACTAAACATTGCAAATAAAAACAATTAACCCTGCAACAAGAAAGAACTAACTTTGAAACTACAAACAACTAACCTTGCAACTAGAGAAAACTAACATTGCAACTAGACAGAACTAACCTTCCAATTACAGATAACTAACCTTGCAACTAAAAACAACTAACCTTGCAACAAAAGGCAACTAACCTTGCAACTAAAGACAACTAACCTTATAACTATAGAAAACTAACCTTGCAAACTGAATACAACTAAACATTGCAAATAAAAACAACTAACCCCTGCAACAAGATATAACTAACTTTGCAACTACAGACAACTAACCTTACAACTTGAGAAAACTAACATTGCAACTAGACAGAACTAACCTTGCAACTACAGATAACTAACCTTGCAACCAAAGACAACAAACTTTGCAACTAAAGATAACTAATCTTGCAACCAAAGACAACTAACCTTGCAAGTAAAGACAGCTAACCTTGCAACTACAGACAACTAACCTTGCAAACTAAATACAACTAAACATTGCAAATAAAAATAACTAACCCTGCAACAAGATGGAGCTAACTTTGTAACTAACCATGTTTCAATAACTTTGCAACATATTTAAACTAATTTTGCCTCACCATATTTACTTCATACACAATATATATTATGGTCAACGGGGCAACGCCGGAAGTCAACGATCAACACCGGAAGTCAGATTTTTGCCGGAAGCCAACGTCGGAGTCAACGGTCAATGGTCAAAATAATATTTAAATAACTAAAATAATTAAAATAAAAAATTATTATTTAAATAAATAGTTAAATCTTGGCCACATATCTTGATACCCTTTTAGTGGCTACGATTGAGTCTCATGTCCTCATTTTAAGAATGTGTTCTCATTGGAACCAATCCCTATATATATATATATATATATAGATTTTTATACAGTTTAGTTGCAGTTTTGTATAATTAATTATTTATTTAATTAACTTAATTAACCTAGGATGGGGTGTATTATTGTGATTTTTGATAAAAAAATGTGGTCAAAATATTATTTGAATCTGATAAAAACGGAGTGCAAGCCTTGTATTGAGACAAGACCAAGTACAAGTACAAAGACTACTGGGAGATTAAAGACAACCACATTTAGCAGCAATAAATATGCCCCAGAACTACCCCAGAAAGGCCCATTACATGCCAACCCAAATGATAAATTTATGTGAGGGTATTACCACTGTCGGTAGTCAGTCATGGAAGCTACGTCGGAGCACCAGCCACCAGAACGCCATGTCTGACCACCAAAGACTGTTCAAGACACCGGAGAACACACCAAGTGCAACGAGGAGCTCTGAAAATGATATTCCGAGCTTCTTTGGATGCCTAGAGGTTGCACGACTCGTGTGACATTCGAAATGAGTCATGTCGTGCCGTAGTCTGTGTAATTTCACACGAGTTGTGTGTCTCATGTATCCCACATGACTTGTGTGGACTTTTTTTTTTCTTTTCTCGAAACGATAGGGGTTTTATAAAAAGCACAATGTGCAAAAAAACCAGCCAATGACTGAAAGATACAACCAATAGCTGAAAGACTGTAAGGCAGATCCGAAAATCGCCTAGAGCCTACCTAGCAAAGCTAGAACAAACACACTCAAAACACTACAACACCACATAAAACTACAAAAGATCCCAAATAGAAGAATCGACGATCCCACAAGAATAATACCCTCTCTCACTCGGGCTCTAAACAAAGGCCAACGGCCCAAACCAAAAAACACAAACCTACCAACTAGAGCAAAGACAAAACGAAACAGAAACTACAAGCAACTAAACAGCTAAACGACCCTTCCAAAGAGGCATAACCGAACTTAACCAGCAGACACCAGGTCGAGACACAAAGAGCGTTTCGCAACCCAAGAAAACCGACCCCGAAACTGCCTAAAAACCGCCAAACGGTTGCCTAACGGAACCGAGACCCAAGCACCAGAACTCTCCCAAAAGCCTACTCACCCCACAGCCGGAAAACACCAAAATATCCCCCCGAACCGCTACAAAAGCGAACCGGCTAATACCACTAGCCAAGTTCGCAGGGGGAAAAGAGCAACCAAGATGCCGAGCCCCAACCACATCGACTCCGAAGCCGACGCCGCCTGAGCCAAACCCGACCTCAACCCACAACACCGCACCCCACTCGACTCCAACGCATCAACAAGGGGAGCGTCGATCGGACCCGAGCCAAAATCTGCAAAAGAAAGCAAATCCAACCCCTGCAGATAAGTGTAAAGAGTCGACCTCGAGTATCGAGAGGTCGACTTGGAGTTCATGCAGAGGAAACAGATCGGGGGCTCTATCATGTCTCTTTGAATCGTCTTCACCTTCTTGATGTAGTAAATCGACTTTGGGTTATTCGCCTTTGACTTAGATAGTTGAAAGAGTCGACATTGAGGATGTCGACCTTTCCCGCCAGTGGTCATGGATTAAGTCGGCTTGCAGGTGTCGACTTTCTCCGCTGTACTCACACAGAGGATGTCGACTTGCGGAGGTTGACTTCCTCTGCCTTAATGGTCTGGAGAGTCGACTGGGACGGGTCGGTTTAGATCGTCATGCTGGCTGCTCGATTTCCCTTCGGGTCGAGTAATAGGGACTTAGACCGGTAGATCATAGTATGACTATATCAAATATTGCAGTTAATTTTTAGGAAATATAGAATGTCTTGTTCGTGTAAGATGATTATTGGTGTAGTACTAATTTGCCATTCAAAGTAAGGGCTTTTTTAGGTAATTCATTTGTTAATTAAAAATATAAAATAAGATGGGTATTACTATATTACTAATTTGTCATTAAAAATATGTCAAAGTAAGGGTATTTTAGGCAGATCATTATTTTTACAAAATAACTCGTCCTTTTATAATAGATATAGATGGCCAATCGTAACTAAAATGTATTTAAAATGTGCTTCCAGTTATATATAGTTAATAAAACACTAGTACAATACCCGTGTATTACACGGGTACTTGTTAATAAAATTATTTTTTAAAATTAAATAATTATAACAACAACAATAGTTTAAAATTAAATATATGTATTTATTAGGCTAATTTGAAGTTTTCGTGGAGATTAATGAGCCGATTGAGAGTTTTCAAAACAAATCAATGTTATGTTAATCAATCAATATCATTACCGAAGGTTCCAATATAACTTAAAGGTGATATTAGTTAAACTATAATGAAATTACTAAGTTAGTTTTTTAATATTTTTTGAGTGTCCGAACCTAAAATTATTGATTTAGAATAATATTATCTTTTATCCAAACCAAATTACGAAACATGTTTTTTTGCCAAGTAGAATTCCGACTTCCGAGACTACCAGTTAGGCTCAGTGCATTATGAAATTATATATAAGAGGAATGGGGATAAGGTATTATTACGATATTATTTATCTGATCCATAATTATTCCACTAGTTAGGCACGTCCATTTTGAAAGATCCCGTTTAGCTGTTAAACTAAAATAAAATAATTGGACAGATAAGCGATAATACGATTGTCCTTATCTTGTGCTATCTTGGTTGCTTTCAAGAAATCTCTGTCCCCGTAGACCATATTCCTCCCGGCAATCTATAATCACCAAGTATTGATAAATCAATGGACAATATTATTTTGAACTTCAAGATATATGAAAATTGTACAAGATAAGTACGAGAAAGTAATTTTGTGTTGAAATTACTATTGTGTCATGATGTGCATATATTGGATGAGAAACAACCAAATCTTTTTTGTCAATAGCCACATGAAAAAGAATTATTTAATAAGTATCTTGTTAAACGCTAACGTGTACTGAGAATTGAAATTGTGAGCATTGCTTTTTAACACCTTTTTGAATATGGAGCAAAAGTATGAAAACCAAACGTTGAAGAAGGGCCAATCAGTGACAGATTGGGAGCATTTAGTGCCACCAAGCCAACCACTCACCCAACTTTACTGTTTGCTTTTTACGCACACATTTATTGTATAATAAACTGCTATTTATTTTGATTCAACAACACAAATAGGTATATTTATTTCGATATATTGTTTAAAATCTGCAACCTCATGAAATATGGATAATTATATTTAAATTTCCCATATAATAGTTTCCACGCATAAAAATTCAACTTTTTACAGTATAATTTTAAAAATTGGGTGTACCAATATTTATCATGGATTCAAGTATGGAATGAAAAATCACGTAGGAAGGAAAAATGAAAAAAAATCTCATCTGCTTTTCAACCACTACAACAAACACACTTTCTAACCATTTCTATCCACTCAGACAAACATATAAATAAAAAAGAAAAAAGGAAAAAAAAAAACAGGTCAAAAGTCAAACCCAAGTGTTGAATTGAGTTGTGTGCACAAGACAAGTTGTGTTGAAAAGTCAACTTTGGGGCATCAAACTCAAGCTTATAATTCAACTTATCATCATTGCCCTTCAGTGGGACAAAACATGCAACTGTTGTGTTATATATTCTGATGAGGGTTTTTTTTTTTTAGTCTGAAAGGGACAATAGTATTTCCGTCATCTTCGCTTATTATTTGTATAAAAAGAACATTTTTAAAAGTCTTGTAATTCCAGCTCTGTTCTTTGGTATTGTATTTTTATATTATATAAAAAGGATATATATGATAGCAACATGGGCATAGTGCAATATATAGAAAGATAAGGTTTTGGCCTTTTATGAGTGACTGCTGCATGTAATTATTGTCCTCTTTTTGGGAGAAACACTAAGCACACAAAAGAAAAAAGAAAAAGATGAAATTTTTGTACTTGTACTGCCTGCTGCAACTGTTGTTCCTTTTCCATTCTTGTTCATTTCCCTTGTGCACTGACTTGAGTAAGTGTGTGTTTTGCTTTATCTAGTTCTTTAGTGATGCTTGGGGTTACATAAAAATATATACATATATATTTTTATAGCTTTTCTTTAATTTGTTGGATTTCTTATACATGATTTACTTGTTATTGGGATTTGCAGGAGCAGCTTTTAAAATAAATGGGAGCTTGGAATTCTGCAATTACAGTGGAAAAGCGTGTTGCAGTGCCTCACAAGATGGGCAGCTGCAGAAGCGTTTTGAGGCTATGAACATATCTGATCCTTCTTGTGCTTCTGCTGTCAAATCTATCCTCTGTGCGGTGAGTGAGTTCTCTAAAATTCATCATTTCAAATTATAATTTATAAATAAATAACCTCGATTATTACTAACTCGGATCATCTTTCAAAAGTATAAATCATTCTCTAAGATGCTATAAGGTATATCAAGTTGGTGACCAATACATTTGAGGTGCAGTTTTGTAATTGATCAACACAGCTGAAGCCTTTTCTTTTTCCTTATTTTCTTTTTGTTTTCCTTTCTTTTATTTGTTTATCAAAAGAGTCGAGGTGGTGTTGTGCTGTGCGGGTCTTTAAATAATTTGACTCGCCATATTTTTTAAATAAAAATTCGCTGTTTAAATATATAAAAAAAAAAAGAAGAGAAAATATAAAAACCATACTCACCCACAAAGTGTTGTTGTTTGCAGACTTGCGATCCATTCTCGGCAACTCTACTAGACACCATCCCTAACACTCGCCCACTCCCAACACTCTGCAACTCCNCCCACCCCACCACCCACCGGCCTCTGCCTCGAGAAAATCGGCAACGGCTCATACATCAACATGGCCCCACATCCCGACGGTTCAAGTCGAGCCTTCTTCTCGAATCTGGCGGGAAAAGTCTGGCTGGCGAGTATTCCGGAGCAGGACTCGGGTGAAGTGATGGGCCTCGATGAGTCGAGCCCGTTTGTGGACCTCACGGACCAGGTTTACTTGGACACGAACTTTGGGATGATGGGCCTTGCGTTTCATCCCGATTTTGCAGTGAACGGGCGTTTTTTCGCGTCGTATAATTGCGATAGGGAGAAGTCGCCTGCGTGTGGGGGAAGGTGCACGTGTAACTCGGATGTGAACTGTGATCCTTCGACTATACAAGTTCCTGGTGCTGGTGAGGTCTGCAGGTATCAGTCGGTTATAGCTGAGTACAGTGCTAATGGGACTGGGTCGAGCCCGTCCGAGGTAAAAATCTTTTGGTGTAATTGCAATAGGTGCCCCTCGAGTGTAGCTTAATTACGAAATAATCAAGTTATTCTTTTGAATTAACAAATTTCCCAGGCACACGGCTAATTTTGAGAATTAGAGAGGTCACACCCTTAGAGGTTTGATTTTGTGTTTAGATTTTGCATGACAGTTTAGCTGACATGATAGGGATTTTCTGAAGTGGCGAGTAATTATTATTACAACTTCCAAAAAATTGCGAATAAACACCGTCTTCTTTTGTTCAACGGTTAGTATTTATTTGTCTAGCTAGAAAATCATGAAATGTATGTGAAAAATTGAAAGAACTAGAGTTATCAGTGAAAATGTAAACACGGAACCAATTTCAGTGTTTGCTTCTGCAATTTTCAATGTTAGTTTGTTTCTATAATTTGACCAAATTTCAAGGGCAGTTTAGTTTGATAAATAAGTGGGTCGTTCTGAATAGGTTAAACCTCAGGGACAGTTTTGTTATGAATCCCAGGTTGTTTTGAACACGCTCGAAATGGATTTATAAATTACATTAACAACTAGGAAAAGAAAAAAAAAAAAAAAAAATGTACCTGAGTTTCTGTCACTTATGAACCTCCAGGCAAAGACTGCAAGACCACAAGAAGTAAGAAGAATTATCACATTGGGTCTGCCCTTCACATCAGATCACGGTGGCCAAATTCTTTTCAGCCCAGCTGATGGATACCTCTACTTTATGATGGGAGATGGAGGGAGCAAAGGCGACCCCTATAATTTCGCCCAGAACAAAAAGTCCCTACTCGGAAAAATAATGCGGCTTGATGTTGACAATATACCAAGTGAGTATTCATTCACGCTACAAACCCCGATTATATACTTCATTTCAGCCGGTTGTAATCTCACTCATGTTGCAGACCATGTTTGTATGTCCTAATAATGATTATCTGATTTATTTTCCTTCAGTCGTTTATACAAACTGTGGGGTCTTTGTTCTTCAGGTGAGGAGGAACTAGTCAAGCTTGGTCGATGGGGAAATTATTCAGTGCCTCGTGATAACCCTTTTTCGGAAGATAAAGAGATGCAGCCGGAAATCTGGGCTTACGGTCTGAGAAACCCTTGGCGTTGCAGCTTTGATTCGGAAAGGCCTTCCTACTTCATGTGTGCTGATGTTGGACAGGTTTGTAAGATGCTGTCGTTTACAAACCCTATTTAAAATCACAAAAGCTGCCCCTGAGGTTAGTTTAATAACGAAAAAGAAAAAAAAAAACAAATATACAAACAACCTCTCTTTCTCTTCCAAAACCACTGCTTGAATAGGAGGGGGTTTTCGTACAGGGGTGTTATTTGAGAAGATCCGTTTCTGTTTTTGGTTAATTGTAATTAGACTAAAACTCAGGGCTTGCATAGATCTGCTAGTAAGTACATTTGTAGAATGCCTGATATGATTGATTTGAGCATTACCAGGATCAATACGAAGAAGTCGATATAATCTCCAAGGGAGGGAACTATGGGTGGCGCGTTTATGAAGGCCCTCTGACTTTTAATCCTCAAAGTAGTCCAGGTGGCAACACGTCTGCAGATTCCATCGACACGATTTTCCCAGTGTTGGGATACAGCCACTCCAAAATAAACAAACTAGGGTCTGCGGCAATATCTGGCGGATACTTCTATCGTTCGCAGGCTGATCCATGCACGTATGGAAGGTAAAAGACAAAAAATCGATAATTTATTTCTTAGCATTAAATGGAAAACCAACCTCTAGTTTTTAAAATTAAATTACAAGTACTTCTATAGGCATCTCTTGTTAAAAACAACACAACTGTCATAGAGTATCTGGAATTTTGATGGTAGAGTATTCTTTTAGGGAAATTACAAAAGCTACCTTAAAAACCACCCAACTCTGGTAATTTTCAAAACTGAGTTTACGTCTTGTGTTCTGATCGAAATGTTTGACCTGGTAAAATTTGTTGGTCACGCCAAATATTTATGAAGGCACCAAGTCAATAAAGTATTTGAAATAGCCCCATTGTGCCATCTAGCAATTTGTAATAACTGAAAAGATATGTGTAATTTTCACTTGTAATATTTTATAAGGGATGAAGGATTTCACTGTTAAAATACTTTATAATTTCCATCAGCGAGCACATGCAGAATGTAAGATGAATTCAACATCAAGGGTAATTTATCTAATTTTTAAAAATATGCAGTCTTTTTCATTTTTAATAATTTATATCTTGTAATTTGGCCGAATCATAGTAGTTTTTTCTGCAGTCATCCTTTCTTCACTTCTATTAAGCCAAAGCTACCCCAGTAATAATTTTCTAGCAATCAACCCTACCTCTTTTTGTACACAATCTTGCTCATGTGCATATCCAACTAACATACGTACCTTACTTAACGATCAGCTATCTGTACGCGGACCTGTATGCAAGCCATATCTGGGCAGCTCAAGAAACCCCAGGAAACAGCGGAAACTTCACGGCCAAAGATGTCTCCTTCAGCTGTGCCTCGGATTCTCCCATCAAATGTGACACAGTCCCCAACAGCAGGCTTCCCGCATTACAGTACATATTCTCCTTTGGAGAGGACAATAGAAAGGACGTTTTTATCCTCACACAGAGTGGCGTGTACAGAGTCGTTCGTCCCAGCAGATGCAACTACGCATGCTCCAAGGAAGTCAAGGCTTCCGTAAGTTCTCCCAGGGCTGCACCTTCTCGTGGCCAATGTTTACATCCGCAGCCACCAGTGGTGGGTTTTGTTTTTGTATGCATACTACTGCTTTTTCTGGGAGTTTTGTAGTGACATGTAGCCTTCTTTTTTATCTACGGAAATAGGGAAGATAGTAATGGAAAATGAACCTGCACTAGCAAGGTTTATAAGACCATTTCATCTGTAACTAATCTTGCAATCTATCTGCAACTCAATTTTCCATTTTTTCATAGAAAAGCGGTGGGGAGAGAGTATCGAAAATATCTCAAAGCAGTGAGAACCAAAAAGATCATTTATTTGTGGCCAAAATTCGGCATAAATGGTTGGGTAATGTGGTCGGAACAGTCAATTTTCTAGCAATCAATCACTGCTGCTAACAACACACTCAATCAATACAAGTATAAAAGTAATACAATCATAGGTTGCGCAATGGGTCCAATTGGTTATATGTCTCAATGTATGAACTCAATCATGAGTAAAATATCATGTCCAACTTCTAACCTGCTTACAATATGTTAGTGTTGTGTTGTGTCAAAAATTATCACTCCTAACAGGACACACATGAACTCAAGATTCGGAAGCAATTCTATCTTTTAACTTAAAATCATCCAACTCTCTGTCCAAGCAATATGACAAATCACCCAGCAAGTTCCATCCAACCACAACAATGCATCAAGGACATTTTCACTCCAACTGTTTTAAGAAGATGCTTGCATGTGTGAGACCTATATAACAACTAAGCTACCACAATCGGATGATGATTCAGCTCAGTTACATCCTAATGGCCGATTAACATCACCATCTCCATCAAAATTTATGCATTCGAACTCTTTCACAAATCGCAAAAATTTCTGCTCAAGCATTAGTGAAGACTGAAGAATCTCTTTAGTATCCTCTGAGCATCAATAGAATGATGTCCGAATAATTCACAAACCATATTTTCTATTCTTCACATACTGTGCAAGTTCAACAAATTATAATACTCGCACTCTTTCTCATTGCCGTTTACTGCTCGTTGGACCGTTGAGGCTCATTGCACATCAAATTATAGATTATACTGCCATCCAGACATCAAGACAGTACTTTTTGATTTGCAATATTCTTATATGTATTCTCTCTCTGCTTGACCAGAATACAAGGGATTCCACCAACTTCCTGCATTGCATAGAGAAAGGTGAGGCATGCAAAAGGGATAGCACAGCAAACTCTTGCAAATGATTTAGCATAGAACAAACATACCTGGTAGAATATAGATGTGTGGAAAACTTCAATCTAGACATGTTCATGACGCCGAGTCGTCGAATTCAAGCAGTCCTGGACAGCAGAAACAAGTATATAGATTTGAGAGAGAGAGAGAGAGAGAGAGAGAGCAGAAACGCTGATAAAGCATCACGGATGCTATAATTTTTGTTTGGGTCAATATTGGAACATATAAACCAATTAAATTTTACGGTTTCAAACAAGCTATTTCAACTCAAGGGTTCCATTATTGCACTAACCAGGCATTGAAACTAGGTGTGGCATAATATGCGGCGATATGGAAATTGATAAGTGGTTTTAACAAGAAAAAAAAAATAGCAGAAAAAGCAGAACTTACGAAAGTTCTCTGGTGATCACTCCCCAGAAATGTAACGCCAAGATGAGCTCCAGAAGGATCAAAAGCAAACGATTGCAGTTATGTCTTCCCACCTTTGCTACTATTAACAAGACACTTTTCCACTGCTTCATCACAAAGCCCCAAAGTCGAATCAATGTTCCCCTCCTCATAATTAATCTCTGCAAAGGTGCAATATATTTCCTTATCTGCAGACAAGTCTTTGTTTCTCATCTCTTCAAAGAGCACCCTGGCCTCTGTATACTTCTTCCTTTTTATGAATCCCTTAATAAGTGCATTATAGGTCTCGACTGTAACATTAAATCCCTTCTCGACCATTTCCTTATGCAAATACCATGCTTCCTTCATATTCCTTGCCTTGCAATGCCCTCGTATTAATATATTATACGTATTTTCATTCGGTGCCACTCCGTTATGAAACATACCACGGTACACATCAGTGGCCCCACGCATATCATTTCTAATACAATGTTGTTTAATAAGAGAATTGTAAGTGATAACATTAGGCATTATATCCTTCTCCAACATCCAGTCTAGAAGTTTCTTACCATCTTCTAACATCCCCAACATACAGAACCCACTCATTAGAACATTGAATGTGACAACTGTCGGTTTGATCCCCTTCTGTAACATCTCATGAAGCAACTGGTGAGCCTTAACCATTTGCCCTGATTTGCTATAGGTATCCATTAGAGTAGTATAGGTATAAGCATCAGGTTTTATCCCGGCTACTTCCATGTCATTCATCAATTTCACAGCTTTCACCATATTCCCAGTTTTACAGAGACCGTTGAGAAGTGCATTGCACGTGTAGACATTCAGAACAAGCCCCTTATCACACATCTCGTAAAGAAGCTCAATTGCTATATCAATCTCACCTTGTTTACAGAGCCCATCAACAAGAGCAGTGTAAGTGACCACATTAGGAATCAAGCCCATCCGAATCATGTCTGTGTGAAGAGAGAATGCCTTCTTTATTTCACCTGCCTTGCAGTAGCCATCAATAAGCGTTGTATAAGTAAACTCGTCCGCTTTTAACCCAATATCAAGCATTTCATGAAAGAGCTCATCTGCTTCAGCTACTCTCCCATTCTGGCAAAAGGCACAAATTAGAGCAGTGAAAGTGATCAAGTCAGGAATAATGTTCTGCTTCTGTATCTCATCGTACATTCTGTATACAGACGAAATATTTCCCATTTTGCTGAAGCCATCAATGAGAGTTGTGTAGACTGCATTATCAGGAAAGATTCCCTGAGATATCATCTCTCTCAAAACCTTCTCAGCATCAGCCAGTTTACCAGCCTTGCACAGAAGAAGGATTATGCTGTTAAAGGTAAATGCATTTGGGCTCAAACCTCTCTGCTTCATATCCTCAACAATTTTAACCACCAAGTGAAGCTCTCCCCGATTGCAATATCCATTGATTACCGTGCTGTAACTCACGGCATCAGGATGGCAACCCCTTAACTCCATTTGCAAAAGTAGGCTGTGAGCTTCTCGGATGTTGCCTAATTGACAAAGTGAATTTAGAACTATATTATATGATATGGTATTCCAGTGAATACCCACTTCAGAAAATTCGCGAAAAACCTTCAGTGATATTTTGGGGCCATCATTGTCTTTTGAGATTCTAGAAAGAAACATATTACATGAATGAAGAGAGAGAATCACGCCATAATGCAACATCTTATCAAAGAGTTTTCTCGCGTCATCAAGGTGTCCATTTTCCACAAGGGCCTGGAAGAAAATGTCAAACACATAGGGATTTGAGCCCCAATCCTTGTAAGTGTATATTAACTTTTCAAGAAACTGGGAGGCCGAGGTATTTCCGCGAATGCTGGGCATTGACCAGAATTCATTAAAAAGCATATGGGCCGTCTTTAAGTTTTTTGCGGCTGCAGCAATTTGAATAAAGATGCAGCGTGCCTCAAGCGACAGGTTCCTTCTAATGCATGACCATTCGAATAAGTTGAAGACAAGGCAGTAATCATTTTTAATCTCCATGAGAACCCAAATGAGATGGTCAGGTCTGAACTTGGACTCGAAGGGCTTCAGAATCCGTCGAAAGGGCTCATAGCATCGTTGCTTGATGACAGTTGAGAAACGGTGGACGAATTCGGAGTCCTTTATGTTAGGTTTCTTTGGAGAATAATCAGGAAAAGATCTTCGACCCATTGACCCAACTGAAGAATACGTTCGTACTAGCGGAAAACGTCCTCTGCTTGAAACAGAGTGTAAACTACATTGTATAAATTGATGGAAATAAGCCGAGATAATCATGAAATGACTCCTCATTCTGGGGGAAGAGATCCATCAATTATGTGCTTCAAAACATTCATTTCTGGTTTGAAACTCCCCCCCTAAATTCCCCCCTGTGGGGCTTAATAATCATGTTCACCTGATACACAAAATAATGGATTTCCTTATTGTATCGTTTTGGAACATTTTGAGTCAATATTCAGCATTCATGTACCAAAAGCTAAATGAACACAGGGAGGAAAGCAAGCTCTTACAGAGGAGATGTCTGTCTTTCTTGGCATTATACAGTCAACTGATTTATCTCAATAATTTACCCACCAATAATTGTATCTTAACTCTCAAATGTTACTCGAAAAGTCAAAAGTATGCTTGACCTAAAGACTAAGTATCAGAAGGAACAAAAATATTATTTTCGTCCATCAGTCTCATGGCAAACTCTTCTTTAATTGACAAACAAATAGGCTAGGCGTTCAAAAGATTAGGAAATCTTCGCTATGCTAAATCAAATTTAACCCCATTTCAACACTTCTAGTAAGTCAATCAGCTATAGCTTGGGCATCTATCCAATAAGAAATGAGAATCATTACAATGCAACAGAAAATCAAGCAAAGAATGCCGCATCTTTTTGACCTCTAGCTTCTCATTGATAATTGAACAAGACCGTCGAACTAGTTTAATGCACGTTACCTTCATATACCTGTGAATTCATGCACGCCCGATAAAGACAACCAACAACATGGAAACTACTGCGTATCGAGCTCAAGGTAATTCATCAAACAGTTGGCAAGCATCCAATGTAGCATTACACAGCAACCACAAAAGGTTGGAATCAGCAAAATATCTACAGTTTCCAGAAAAAATCACACAGATACACAATATAAGTTAAATTTTCAGTCCATGAAACAATAATTATTATGGAAATTTCACTCCAGTCGCAAGAAAACAAAAAAGACGATTTTTGAAAAATGAAGGAATATTAATTATAAAAACAAAGAGCGAGAACTCCATTTAAACAATAATAGCGTTAGAGCAATTAACTTCTTGCTTTTAATCAATCAAAAATACCAAGTGTTTGCTGAGGTAACCTGGAGAAGATGAGCGCCAGCTGCTTCAACTCCACAAAAAGTTTAAAATCTTTGCAAAAGTTTGGGGATTTTGGTGCCTCGGTGGGCTGCTTCACGTTATGGGCTTCCAATCCAACAACTCGAATTTAAGGAAATATGGACAGTTTCCATCTTTTTTTTTTTTAATTTTTTATTAGATAAAATACCCCATAATCAAAATATAAAATATTACATTATATATATTAATATAATTTCTTAGTTAGAAACATATAAAATCTAACATAAATATTTGTATACATACCATGCTTTCTCAAATTTTAACTTACCTTTTTCAAATATAATTATTAAGGTAGTTGCGTTTAATTGATAACTACCCTAATTTAATGGAATTTTATTTTTGTAACTTTCCAAAAACTTGAAAAACATCCACGCCCTCACGACATCTCCAATCTTCTCCGTTCTCTCTCTCTCTCTCTCTCTCTCTTTTATTTATTGTCTTGGTTGGCTGAAGGATCCCACGGTGAAAAATGTTAAATACTCATGACTGAAGTATGACGTCATCCTTTGAGTCTCAGCGTGGCTTGGTTGGCTGAAAAGTGTTAAATACTCTTTTTGAGTCTCTCATGGCTCGGTTGGTTAAAGGATCCCGCGCTATCCCCGGCCCGACCTCATCGTGACCCCTTACACTAAGCATGAGGTTCAGGCTTCCGTCGCATCGTGAGGCACGACGTCAGGCTGTAGACTCGCATAGACGGCCAGGACTACGAGCGCCTCCTTCACGGGGGAGCCCTTGGTGGCCGCTACTTCTCAGGGGACAGCGTGATCATTCGGGGTACGGACGGTGCGGCAGTTTAGGGATCAAATCTATTTCAATGTTTATTTAAAGTTTATGTTTGGTATATTAGTAGATTTTTTTGTTGATGAGAAAATTGATATGAGACGACAAATGAGCAATTTTTTTTGTTGATTATTGTTTATCTTGTTTTGGATATTAAATATTTTTTGTTTTGTTTTTATTTGTAACTCTGTCGTGTGTTTACGTTTTCGTTGTTGAGTACTTTTTGTGAATGGATATTTGGTTTTTGTAATGGTTTATATTAGCTCTGACGTCTGGACAAAATAGTGAGAAATTCTTATTTGTCGAGGATATCTATTTTTCATAGTGTTTTGATGGAGCTTTTTCGCATGTGAATCTACAGACTTCATGGTATTGATGTTGGATAAAGATATTAGACCAAACATCAATCTCTCCAGCGATGTCCGATTGTTATGTATACATATGAAGACTATTTTGCAGTCTGCTTCAAGAGAGTGGCTAGAATTTTCCAGCAGAAAGAAGGTGGTGTGATGGTGAGTAGGTTTTAAGGTCATGTTGGCTAGGTTTTTTGGTTCAGTAGTCGATGTTTCTTTTGTTTTCAGACTGCTTTTGTTTTGTTTTGTTTTGTTTTGTTTTCTTTGGCTTGGTTGTTGATTTGCTCCTCATACTTAAGGTCTCGAGTACATGTGCCCGCCTTTTGTCTTGTTTTCCGATGTCTTTTCCATTTTGGATTTGAGGTCATCGGTGGTGCGGTTTCCCCTCGTATTTTATGTATTATTGGTACCTCGGGTTGTTTATGTTGAGTTNTCACAATCCAACGCCTAATATCTATTCTATCAATTCCACAATGAATATTAGGCGTTGGATCGTAAGATTATGGCACTATATGGTGCCCATAGAATTTCTGATAGAAAACTTGAAATCTGAAGATAAAGCAAGAAGTAGGAAACATTACAAATTTGTAGACTTAGCCACACCAAATTATTCTTCTTCCTTTTTTTTTTTTATTTTATTTTATTTAATGACTTTAACCTTTTATTCGAGAACATTAGGCATTATGTAATGAATTGAACTCATATCTTCTCGCATTATGTTATATGGTTCCACAAAGCTTATAAAGGTGATTCTACTCATTAATTTGGTCAACAAAAATTTCGAAAAACACTCAAATGAAACACTTGATGTGAGTTTATGAATAAGCTAGGGCTGCAAACGAGTCGAGCTGCTCGCGAGCGCTCGAGTCAAAGCTCGACTCAAGCTCGAGTTTGACCGAACACGAACTGGAGTCGAGCTCGAGCTCATATTTTGCATTGTCGAACGGCTCGCGAGCACCTCGAGATATATGAAATTACTAAAATACCCCTTGTGTATATATGTACTTAATGATTATTTCGAACCAAATTCGAGTCGAACTCGAGCCAAGCTCGAGCTCTTGTATTTTTTTATTGAGTCGAGCTCGAGCCTAAAAAATCGATCTCGAGCCGAGCTCGAGCTCTTGTATTTTTTTATCGAGTCGAGCTTGAGCAGCTAAAAAAAAAATAATTTATCCTGCTCGATAAGACCAATGCTCGACTCGTTTGCAACACTATGAATAACATCAAATTACGTACACCAAGCCACTCTCTCCATACCACCAAACAAAAGCCCCCGAAAAAGTCCATTTTAAATCTCCCTACAAAAGTTTTGAACTCGTAGAAGCAAGCAAAGGACAAAAGTGGAAATTCAAACCACACAACTTTCTTATATAATACCCAACCCCAAACTCCCTCCCTCCTTC